CCCCAACCCTTATCCACACCCCCACCCCCAAACAGACCCCCGAGACTCCCACGCCCCATCCAACAACTCCCCGCCCCGACAGGATCCCCAGAACTCCCGACCCATCCAACCCTCCCCCTGCTCCCTGACTGCCCCCCGGGACTCCCCTTACCATGCCCATGCCAGTCAGATGCTGGCTCCTCCATGTGGAGGTAAAACACGCCTCTCCCGCAGAGTGCTGAGGCAGCAGGGGGGGAGCAGGGGAGGGGCTCTGGCTGCTGGAGGCCAATCGGAGCGGCTCAATCAGGCCCAGCCGCCCAATCAGCCACGCCGCACTCTGCATGGAAGGAAGGGAGGGGAGGGGGGAAAATCCCGGACCTTTTAACTTTGTTACCAATTCCTCCCGGACGGCTATTTAAAGACGAAAAAGCCGGACATGTCTGGGGAAATACGGACGGATGGTAACCCTACGTTTTACAATGTGACTGACAGGTCCCAGCTCTTCACTTTCACTGGCACCTTCTCCGGGATGCTCCGCCCTTATTTCTTTCCTGATCTCAGGGCTGGGGGTGAAAATGTGGCTCCCCTGAGAATCTGCTCAGTCCCAGCGCAGGCCGGAGGGAATCTCTGTCCCTGACAGTGACCCCGCGCCACAGACTGTCCCCTCCCAGCGCTGCTCTACCCGCCCCCAGTGGTGGGGGCCAGTTACTGCAGCAACTGGACTTTTTGTGCTGACGGGACGCTGCCACTTTCCCCTTTCAATTGGAGGTTCCAGTTGAAAACCGGACACCTGGCATCCCCCAGCCCTCACCTTCCCCGTCCCCTGCCCCAGGGGTAGCAGATGGGGGTGGATGGGGTTATTCACTCCTGTCAGAATTTTCTACACCTGTGAAATCTCAATGTAAAATATGAAAGAAACAAGATTATTCTAATTTAGAAAATATTTGTTAGTCTTTAAGGTGCCAAAGAAAAGAAAGTTACTCCAGGAAATTCATCACAATTCCTCTGGGTTCTCTGTCCACCACCTGGAATGCTCTGTAAATATAGTGACTGATTGGTCTAAATCCTTGAAATTAGCAATTGAAGCTAATTTCTTGAAGAGCTAACTGAGCAAACTATGAGAGGAGGCACATCACATGGCATTGCTAGGACTACTTTTTGTTTTAAACCTGATGCATTAGGAACATTTTCAATATAATAATTCAGTTCTGAAGGTTTTTTCACAATATGCCATTCATGGCAGTGTGCCGTAAACTTGCCTTGATTATTTGAAAATAGATACCCTAAAATTATCTTGTGATGGATTCATTTGTGGTTTTATCCTGTCTGCTGGTTTCGAGGTGGAATGGGCTGCTGAAGCAATGTGGTTTTCCTAGTTTTTAACACAAGGAAATTGTAATCTGAAAATAGATAATTTTCCCCTAAAATTTCCTTCAGAAATATCTGCATTACTTTCCCTATTTATCACTGATTTATGTGTAATTACTGTGGTTTCTTATCCAATCTTATGGTGTTATTACATGGGGAAATATATTGGCAAATAGTAAAAAATATGTATATTATGTATATGTATATTATGTATATTATGTATATGTATATTAACCTATCTGACAAAACGTAAAAAAAGTGTTGTCACTCACAACTGACAGCATGAAGTGTTATGAAGCGATTGCAGGCAATGTTCATTTTAAAATTTCTATCTATGAATGGGCTCCCCCATCAGTTCCTGCAACCCCTGGCTGGCAGAGCTCTGTGTGAATGAAGCAGCAGGCAGTCTGCCAGGGAACCGCCACCAAGTGTCTTTATGACTTTTTATGGTGCGTCACAACAGAGCAGCAGTTATGAGGAGCCCCCTTCCTGCTCCCTGATTCAGACTTTTATACTGCTGCTTTCTTCTCAGCACTGAGCCAGTGACCTCCTCAGGGCTCCCTACAGGTACAAGTGATCCCCTCTGCCCTTCCAAACCCAAACTACTCAGTCCCTCCTCCTCTAACTGCACCCGGTGCCCTGGGTGTTCTCAGTGACCAGGGTGCTGGCTTCCAAAGGGCTCCGTTTGTAGCTACTAACAGCCCCCTGTCACATGGCCATTATTGTGTAATTGACCATACAGTGAAAATAACACCAAATGTAAACTGTTACCCCATTATTCAATTCAGAACCTAGATCTGCCAGTGTCTGCTCTGGACAGCCATGTTGATATATAATTTTACATGTCATCTTCTCCACCTCATGTGCTGTCACAGTTCTAAGTGGAAATTCTTCTACCTATTTTGAAAAATCATCTGTAGCTGTCAGTACAAACTGGTATCGCTTCTGTGGGACTGGATAGAGCCCGATTAAATCTGTTCCCCGCCATTGCAAGGGTTTAACAACCTATGTGCAAGAACACAGGCTAGAGTTATCATTTGGATCACATGGACATGCAAGTCTGGGATGATGAGCAGTGGCTGCAGAACTTTCGGATGAAAAAAGCCATTTTCATGGGACTGTGTGATGAGCTTGCCCCCACCCTACAGCGGAAGGACACGAAATTGAGAGCTGCCCTGACGGTGGAGAAGCGGGTGGCTATTGCAATCTCGAAGAATGCATGATGATTTGATCCCACCACTCAGTGCTTGTTTCCCGAGCCCAAAAGCAGCGTTCCACAGTGGTGAGCATGTCCGTGAATGCCACAAGCAATCTCGTGTCGTATGCATTACTCGAGTCGATATCGTCAGAGTCCTCACTGTCAGTTTGGATCTTAAGGAATAACTCGACTGGCAAACGTGACGTGCTAACGAGACTTGTCAGCAAATTCCTCAGCAGTTCGGGCTCCATTCCCGCAGACCGAAAGGGAAGACAGAGCGTGCAGTACAAAAACCATTGAAAGATGGTGCCAAATGCGGACAGAAGCACAGGGAATGTTGGGTTGCGAACCGATGCGTCATGGGTGTTGAGACAGGACCGCCGGCCCCCTTCCTACAAGCCACAACACCAGAATGGGAAGAGGTGCTGTGTGGGATAACTGCCCATAATGCACTGCTCCCTATGCCACTGCAAGTGCTGCAAATGTGGCCACGCTAGTGCGCTTGCAGCTGTCAGTGTGGACAGACTGCGGCACTTTCCCTACTGCGCTCTCTGAGGGCTGGTTTAATTCAAAGCACTCTACATTTGCAAGTGTAGCCATGCCCTTAGGAACACCTCTACCCACCCCATCTCCTTTTCATGGGTATTTCGCATCTCTACTTGGCAAGTGAGGTTCAGTTGAGGGTAGGGTGACCAGATAGCAAGTGTGAAAAATCGGGACAGGAGGTGGGGGGTAATTGGAGCCCATATAAAAAAGAGCCCCACATATTGGGACTGTCCCTATAAAATCGGGACATCTGGTCACCCTAGTCGAGGGTGACTCACCTCAATCAGGGCAGGCTAAGCACAGTTCTGCTGCCCTTTGCTAATGAAATAAGGCTAATGACATTCCATTACTCTGCATTCAATACTGGAGTGTTGTGTAACCCAACACCAGCCCAAAGTGATCATTTTGGCAGAGCAGTTCCCTCTGCTATGCACCTATGCATAATAGGCATATATAAAACATGGTCTGTCCCTAAAGTCTTTCCCCCAGCTCATCACAAGATGTCAAGGAGAGCTCATCCCGACCCTGCATATGAATTTTCTAGTGTAGCTCAGGCCTCAGCTGTGTGATCTTGGTGCACGCTCCCAGCATGTCTGTTCTTAGCTCCCAGGGATTCTCCAGCGGCTGGCTCATATGGGGCAGAGAGAGGAGCTCTGATCTCTGTAGAGGGACAAGACTCCTCACATCTCACTCACATGAGGGGAATGGAGAGAGGCTCAGACACCTCAGGGAGGGTTGACCCCACCAACCCTTGACTTGAGGTGCAGCAGGGAGAGGGGATTGGATTGATAACACCTAGAAGGGCATGGCCCCCCACATCTCGGTAAATAACTGGAAGTCCTGGCAAAGTCAAGGAACTATGATGTCATTGGAATAACAGAGTTTTGGTGGGATAACTCACATGACTGGAGTACTGTCATGGATGGATATAAACTGTTCAGGAAAGACAGGCAGGGCAGAAAAGGTGGGGGC